TACGGCTCTAATCGAGATTTGGAGCGTTTTTTGGAGTCAAAAAAAAAAAAATCCTCAAAAAACATGTCCCAACCCATTTTTCAGGCTGGCGGGTCTGAAAATCTTTAAATCGATTTATCTCCGTTAATACGGCTCTAATCGAGATTTGGAGCGTTTTTTGGTGTCAAAAAAAAATTTCCTCAAAAAACATGTCCCAACCCATTTTCTTAGGCAGGCGGGTACGAAAATCATTAAATCGATTTATCTCCGTTAATACGGCTCTAATCGAGATTTGGAGCGTTTTTTGGAGTCAAAAAAAAAAAATTTCCTCAAAAAACATGTCCCAACCCATTTTTTAGGCTGGCGGGTATGAAAATCTTTAAATCGATTTATCTCCGTTAATACGGCTCTAATCGAGATTTGGAGCGTTTTTTGGTGTAAAAAAAAAATTACCTCATAAAACATGTCCCAACCCATTTTTCAGGCTGGCGGGTATGAAAATCTTTAAATCGATTTATCTCCGTTAATACGGCTCTAATCGAGATTTGGAGCGTTTTTTGGTGTAAAAAAAAATTTTCCTCATAAAACATGTCCCAACCCATTTTTCAGGCTGGCGGGTATGAAAATCTTTAAATCGATTTATCTCCGTTAATACGGCTCTAATCGAGATTTGGAGCGTTTTTTGGTGTCAAAAATTTTTCCACAAAATACATGTCCCAACCCATTTTTTCAGGCTGGCGGGTATGAAAATCTTTAAATCGATTTATCTCCGTTAATACGGCTCTAATCGAGATTTGGAGCGTTTTTTGGTGTAAAAAATAAATTACCTCATAAAACATGTCCCAACCCACTTTTCAGGCTGGCGGGTATGAAAATCTTTAAATCGATTTATCTCCGTTAATACGGCTCTAATCGAGATTTGGAGCGTTTTTTGGTCTCAAAAAAAATTTTCCTCAAAAAACATGTCCCAACCCATTTTTTCAGGCTGGCGGGTATGAAAATTTTTAAATCGATTTATCTCCGTTAATACGGACCTAATCAAGATTTGGAGCGTTTTTTGGTGTAAAAAAAAAAAAAAAAAATTTCCTCCAAAAACATGTCCCAACCCATTTTTTCAGGCTGGCGGGTATGAAAATCTTTAAATCGATTTATCTCCGTTAATACGGCCCTAATCGAGATTTGGAGCGTTTTTTGGTGTAAAAAAAAAAAAAAAAATTTCCTCCAAAAACATGTCCCAACCCATTTTTTCAGGCTGGCGGGTATGAAAATCTTTAAATCGATTTATCTCCGTTAATACGGCTCTAATCAAGATTTGGAGCGTTTTTTGGTGTCAAAAAAAAAAAAAAAAAAATTTCCTCCAAAAACATGTCCCAACCCATTTTTTCAGGCTGGCGGGTATGAAAATCTTTAAATCGATTTATCTCCGTTAATACGGCTCTAATCGAGATTTGGAGCGTTTTTTGGTGTCAAAAATTTTTCCACAAAATACATGTCCCAACCCATTTTTTCAGGCTGGCGGGTATGAAAATCTTTAAATCGATTTATCTCCGTTAATACGGCTCTAATCGAGATTTGGAGCGTTTTTTGGTGTAAAAAATAAATTACCTCATAAAACATGTCCCAACCCACTTTTCAGGCTGGCGGGTATGAAAATCTTTAAATCGATTTATCTCCGTTAATACGGCTCTAATCGAGATTTGGAGCGTTTTTTGGTCTCAAAAAAAAATTTCCTCCAAAAACATGTCCCAACTCAATTTTTCAGGCTGGTGGGTATGAAAATCTTTAAATCGATTTATCTCCGTTAATACGGCTCTAATCGAGATTTGGAGCGTTTTTTGGTGTCAAAAAAAATTTTCCTCAAAAAACATGTCCCAACCCATTTTTCCAGGCTGGCGGGTCTGAAAATCTTTAAATCGATTTATCTCCGTTAATACGGCTCTAATCGAGATTTGGAGCGTTTTTTGGTGTCAAAAAAAAAAAAAAAAAATTTCCTCAAAAAACATGTCCCAACCCATTTTTTCAGGCTGGCGGGTATGAAAATCTTTAAATCGATTTATCTCCGTTAATACGGCCCTAATCGAGATTTGGAGCGTTTTTTGGTGTAAAAAATAAATTACCTCATAAAACATGTCCCAACCCACTTTTCAGGCTGGCGGGTATGAAAATCTTTAAATCGATTTATCTCCGTTAATACGGCTCTAATCGAGATTTGGAGCGTTTTTTGGTCTCAAAAAAAATTTTCCTCAAAAAACATGTCCCAACCCATTTTTTCAGGCTGGCGGGTATGAAAATTTTTAAATCGATTTATCTCCGTTAATACGGACCTAATCAAGATTTGGAGCGTTTTTTGGTGTAAAAAAAAAAAAAAAAAATTTCCTCCAAAAACATGTCCCAACCCATTTTTTCAGGCTGGCGGGTATGAAAATCTTTAAATCGATTTATCTCCGTTAATACGGCTCTAATCGAGATTTGGAGCGTTTTTTGGTGTCAAAAAAAAAAAAAAAATTTCCTCCAAAAACATGTCCCAACTCAATTTTTCAGGCTGGTGGGTATGAAAATCTTTAAATCGATTTATCTCCGTTAATACGGCTCTAATCGAGATTTGGAGCGTTTTTTGGTGTCAAAAAAAATTTTCCTCAAAAAACATGTCCCAACCCATTTTTCCAGGCTGGCGGGTCTGAAAATCTTTAATTCGATTTATCTCCGTTAATACGGCTCTAATCGAGATTTGGAGCGTTTTTTGGTGTCAAAAAAAAAAAAAAAAAAATTTCCTCCAAAAACATGTCCCAACTCAATTTTTCAGGCTGGTGGGTTTGAAAATCTTTAAATCGATTTATCTCCGTTAATACGGCTCTAATCGAGATTTGGAGCGTTTTTTGGTGTCAAAAAAAATTTTCCTCAAAAAACATGTCCCAACCCATTTTTCCAGGCTTTTTTTTTTTTTTTTGTTTATTAATTTATTTGATAAGGCTCAACCGAATTAACTTTACAGAGCCGAGGATTCTTGGTCAATATACAATACATCTTAAAACTATAGTCAAAAGGTACAACACAATAAACACTTTATCTTCCGCTATCCAAAAAGCCTCCTCCATCAGAACTGGAGCCGCTTCCAGTGATTTCATTGTATGGCAAATTGTTGTACGCCAATGAGGGTCAGAGCGCGTCCATTGCAGCAATGGACGCAAAACGTGGTCAGCACTCACACACTCATCACGAAACGGTTGCTTTCCAAAGTCGACGACGCATCGACTGAAAGAACTGCTGATGAAGAACAATGAGGAGGACCACACAATGGTTGCTGCCGAGTGAACAGACGATCGCGTGACACACATTGAGAGTGGTCTGCTTCAGTCGACAGCCGAGTGAACACTGTCATTTTTCCAGGCTGGCGGGTCTGAAAATCTTTAAATCGATTTATCTCCGTTAATACGGCTCTAATCAAGATTTGGAGCGTTTTTTGGTGTCAAAAAAAAAAAAAAAAAAAAATTTCCTCCAAAAACATGTCCCAACCCATTTTTTCAGGCTGGCGGGTATGAAAATCTTTAAATCGATTTATCTCCGTTAATACGGCTCTAATCGAGATTTGGAGCGTTTTTTTTTGGTGTCAAAAATTTTTTCCACAAAATACATGTCCCAACCCATTTTTTCAGGCTGGCGGGTATGAAAATCTTTAAATTGATTTATCTCCGTTAATACGGCTCTAATCGAGATTTGGAGCGTTTTTTTGGTGTAAAAAAAAAATTTCCTCATAAAACATGTCCCAACCCATTTTTCAGGCTGGCGGGTATGAAAATCTTTAAATCGATTTATCTCCGTTAATACGGCTCTAATCGAGATTTGGAGCGTTTTTTGGTGTAAAAAAAAAATTTTCCTCATAAAACATGTCCCAACCCATTTTTCAGGCTGGCGGGTATGAAAATCTTTAAATCGATTTATCTCCGTTAATACGGCTCTAATCGAGATTTGGAGCGTTTTTTGGTGTAATAAAAAATTTTCCTCATAAAACATGTCCCAACCCATTTTTCAGGCTGGCGGGTATGAAAATCTTTAAATCGATTTATCTCCGTTAATACGGCTCTAATCGAGATTTGGAGCGTTTTTTGGTGTAAAAAAAAAAAAAAAAATTCCTCCAAAAACATGTCCCAACCCATTTTTCAGGCCGGCGGGTATGAAAATCTTTAAATCGATTTATCTCCGTTAATACGGCTCTAATGATTAAAGCGTCACGACTTCAACCAAATTATCATTTTGACAAAGTTTGGTTGAAATCGATGACATTGACCAGAAAGTTGTATTCACTTGAACTGGAATGACCCATATATCTTTTTGACTTGTGCGTTGAACTCTCTCAAATTGTATATGTGTCTCACAGTTAAAAAAAAATGTCCTTCTGCATAACTTAAATTCTTCGACCAATTAAGAGACTGCCAGAGACGGTGAATGCTTTTATATTACCTTGCAAAGTGGGAGGAAAATTATTGCAAGCGCCCAACCAATCAGCTCCCATCCGTTGCGATACGATTTCTTCATTAACTCTAAAAATGACATAAATTGAGACGCAAAGCATGTTAATAGGAAATTATTCCCTACCTCCTCAGCTTATCGTGAACTCAGACAGAAAACAGAGTCAACGGCCTTCTGTGGAGAAGTCACTTATTATAAGGAGTGGAAAGGGGTACAAAAGTTCACCGACAGGAAAGCATCTCGGCAAAAAGAGAGACGTTATCGTTGTCGGTCCTCTTGTTCAATGGATGTCCCATCGTCTCAGAGACAGTCTGCTTCTGCTATAAAACGAAGAAAGCATTCCCTCGGGAAAGTTGTTTCCTGAATGCTGCTGCTGCTGCTGCTGACCCAGCATGCGACAAACAAAGCCATTCGGTTCAGTCAATAGGGCTTCAATTATGACCCTTGCACTTCTCTCTCATCGGAATTCAATTCCTCGTTCCCTGGCAACTTTGCAGAAAATTATGATTCTATCCGATAAACTTAATTAAAAATTAACAGCAAAAGGTACTTACGAAAAAGATGATATTGAATATATGAAGCACGTATTTAACAAAATTGATGCTGCAGCAGTCCGAGTCACGAGTTTTGTGCAGCTTCTTGTGGGCGCCACCGTTCTGATGATGGAGGAAATTGCTGCCACCGCTGCTGGTCGTCGGAACCACCGTCGGGGTCTGCTGCTGCTTTTTCTTCTTGGCCATATTGCGCGGAACTAGTTTGCACCGTTGGAAAACTTTATTTTCGTGTGCACTAGGAAACAACAAAAAACCTCACTGCAGGACTTTATTTATAGCACGGAATCACAACTGGTGGTAGCGAGCAGTACGGCCTGTTTTTCCCGCGTAAGAATACCGACGATAAATTTCAAAATTGAATGAACACTACACTACTCCCAGGGGCACTACCGGACCGGAGGAATCCCAATTTTCCGGCGCATAAAGTTGATCGAGTTCACTATTTGGATGGGACCCAAGATTCATGGTTCTTTGTTTCGTTGCTCCTCCGCCGTCGTCGTCGTCGTCGACAGGCGCGGGAATGTGGAAGACGCACTCGGGGTCAATTAGGCGAGCGAGCTTACAGCAAGCTAAGGAACCGGGCAGAACAATGACATACACACATACACCGTTGATTGGTGGAATGGTGAGCTCACGACGAACGACGGATCATTAGGTGGACGCATGCCGGAGCATAATTCAATCGTTGAATGACGATGCGGACGATATGACTTTGCGGCGTGCAGGGTGGTTCGATTTTCATTGACCAGCGGGCATGACCGGAGCGAATTCCTTTTCTGTCACAGGACTGGACTGGACTGGACTGGTCCGGTGGCGTCAGAGTATCCAACGATGATGATGGCGGTGGTGGTGAGGGATTCGGGTCGGGATCGATCTGAAAGTAGTGGAGAAGAATGACATGTATTGTCTTTTGTGAAATTGGCTTTCATGAGGCGGTAATGTGGAGAAGGGTTGGCAAAATTTATGTTCCATGTAATTAGAGTTTTCCATTTGTAGATGAGTTGACGGGTTGAATCGATTGATTCACATTGTTTGCAGAGTAAATTGAAAACAAAATATTAAACCCATTTGAAGCTAAAGTCAATGTTTTGTAACAAATATGGAAACATATTTTATACTTTTCAAAATAATAGAGAAAAAGTTTCAAATATACCGTAATGGCTCTTCCTGGGAATCGAAAAATGCTTCTATCCAGTGCACTATGGATCCGCTCCGTACAAAAGCTGGGCAAAAATGTTAGAATGGTTGAAATATGCTGTAAATATCATCTAAGGCTGAATCCGATTTTTGCATCAAAAACACCCTAACCTATGGTGACTAAATGGTATGATTGCTTTTGAAACGGATAATCGCGTTCTTGGGCTGTGTTCCATTTGGTGAATTTACACTTAAATTTGACAGATGGAAAATTTAGAAATAAACCTGCTTTTCCAGTCAACGGAGTTTTGATTAAAATCAAAATCTTAAGATATTCTATGTAGTGTGAGTCCTATGAAATTAAAATCCTAAGGGATTTGAGAAAAGGACTTCATGGTGAATTCATGGGTAATTCTTAGAAGAATGACTGGTTTGAACACTCTGTAGTCTATACTAACAGAAATGCTGAAAAATTGGTTAAAATAAATTTACAAGACTCTGAAGTTTAGAAAATATCAACATTATAAAAATGATGTTGGAAGATCTTAGAGTCGGAGAAAAAACTGATTTTATTTAAAACATGGGATTGTGAAAAAAATTGGATCGAAGTAGGCCGCGCTGCGAAAATGACGTTTTTTTGTTTTGCTGCGTCGTTTTCGTTCTAGTGAAAATGTTATAAATTTACAATTCCATTTTTTAAAAGTGTTGACTTGAAAGTACAGAAGTCATGTTGGAAAGTGCATTAAGTGAAAATTTTCAAATTCCTATACGTTGCATGTGGTGCCGACTGTTCTAACCTACGCGTAGCTACGCTCAGCTAAGTTTATTTACTTTTTCGTTCCTCTGTCCTTGAAATATCCATTTAATTCAAGATGATTATTTCAAAACTTACTAAATACGTGTCAATCAAGTATTGCACTCTTGATTGCACTACTGCTTGATTGAAAGTTTGAGTACATTTTCAATGGCTTATATTTGCATCGATAATGTATTGAAGCGGGGCTAATCATGTGTGAAAATAGCTTCGGAATGCTTTCGTTCTTGAAATGGGCTATTGTAGCTGTGGTTGAGCTGTCACCTTCTAACTCACGGGTTCAAGCTTCTTTGCATGCATAAGAAATAATTGCAGGCGGATTTTATCCATAATAGCTCTGTCAGACAGTGGGAGTTAGACCAATGGTGAATCTTCATTCTAATCTACGATTCCTCATACTATTAATAACCTTTTACACATCAGAATGAATTGAGCATATTTTTAGGATCAACAAACATTTTCAGGCGCAAAGGAGCAGCAGGATCGAGCTGATAACGTTTCTTAATTCCAAAATCTGAAGACTGTTTTGAATAATATGTTTAGGTAATGGGCAGCAACAACGGACGCCGGCTGGGCGTATCCTATGGCTTACCCTCCCTACTAACAAAAATCCACCCGTCCCGTGACACTTATGAGGGGTCGTAGAGTTCTCTGCATCTCTCTTAAGTAAGTGTCGGACTAACATTCCTCCCCTTTCCCCACCAGATGCAAGGACGTGGCCAGGATAGCTCTGGTCTGTTGGAGGGAGACACATCCTTTATCTAAGAGGTAGTAATTAATCACAAATGACTATCTAACAGCAACGGATGAAGGTGGATCTCCTTCTTAACAACAGTTTGGAGCCTACGACATTGCGCCACCTGGTTTATGCTATGCTATGCTATGCTAACATGGGATTGTGGAAAAATTTGAAACAAACAATTTTTAAAATTTACAAGAATCCATATTTAAAAAAAAAATCATTATTTTGGTGTGGGAAATTTTTACGGCTCTGCAGCTAGGAAAAATGTTCAGTGATCCAGCAATTTAGAATGAAGTTGTATAGAATTCTTATGAGAATACCAATAGAATTCTTAAGGAGAACTGAAATGGATTAATTAATTAATTTAGCTTTATTTAGGAGGCTTTCAGCCTTAGGCTGGTTCGCCTCCAACCCTGAAATGGAATAAAAGTGTTGCTTTAAGAGAAAAGTAGAGAAGTATAATTACAAAATACTGGTAAACATCCTAAGGTAAATATTTTTTGTTTAAATGTTTGCCTTTACTGTGGAGGCATCTTCTTTTGTGCTGGTCGCTGTTGTTTTCTACAACTCTTTCGTAGTATTGTTTTCTCTACAACCAACTGTTTACGTACTATTTTTTTTAATAATGTGTGTGCGAAAACACAACGGCTCTTTTAAAAAATGAATCTTGAGTCAAAATTATCTTCTCACCTGCAGAAAACATTTGGTCTATCATACTGAAATATGAACCAAGTGACATCCAGATCGATGACCAACCGTTTTGGTGTATAATCAGTCAGGACTTTAAAAAAATTCATAGAATTTTCAAGATGTTCATGAAACTACAGAGATGTTCACAGAAATTCCGAGTAGTTTACTGATCTTTCAAGATGTTTATAGAACTTCCTAGCAAACTGATAGATCTTCCAAGCAGTTCATTGAACGCCCGAGATGGTCATAGAACTTCCAAAGCGCTCATAGAACTTCCGAGATGTTCATAGAACTTCCGATAATTTCATAGAACTTCCGAGTAGTTCATATAGCTAGGTATTCATAGAAATTCCGAGATGTTCGTAAAACTTCCGAGTAGTTCATACAATTTCCGAGTAGTTCATGGAGCTTCCGAGATGTTGATAGAACTTCCGAAAAGTTTTATTATTATTGTCTTTATTAAAGACTTGTCTCTTATTGACCTTCCAAGCGATGCATATAACTTCCAAAGAAGTTAAGAGAACTTTCGAGATGTTCATAGAACTTTAGAAATGTCCCTAGAACTTCCATGCAGTTCACAGGAATTTTGAATGTAGATACAGATGTTTGTAGATCCTCCTAGATATTCACAGAACTTACGAGAAGTTCACAGAACTTCCGAGCCGTCTATTGATCTTCTAAGCAGTTCATTGAACTTCCGAGATTTTCATAAAACTTCCAAAACTCTCATAGAACTTCCGATATGTTCATAGAACTTCCGAGCTGTTCATAGAAAACTCCCGATAATTTCATAGAACTTCCGAGTAGTTCATACAGCTTCTGAACGGTTCGTAGATCTTCCAAGGTGTTCGTAGAACTTTCGAGATGTTTTAAATATCCAAGCAGTTCAAAGAACTTTTGAGTTATTCATAGAATTTCAGTGCAGTTCATAGAACTTCCGAGCAGTTCATATGTTCGTTAAACTTCCGAATAGTTCATAAAACTTCCGAGCTTCTGAGATGTTGATAGAACTTCCGAGAAGTATTATTTATGATTGTCTCTATTAAAGACTCATCTCTTAGCCAAGTAGCCACCATGTCCATTAATAGCACTCTAATCGCCCTTTTTGAAATATAAGATTGTTAAAGGGATTTTAACTCTATATCAGCCGTATATCAGCATTACATTGCAAAAAGGGCAATTCGCGGGCTTGTTGGCTACTTGGGTATTGAACTTCCTAGCGATACATATAACTTCCAAAGGAATTAAGAGAACTTTTGAGATGTTCATAAAACTTTAGAAATGTCCCAGGAACTTCCATGCAGTTCACAGGACTTTTGAGAATTTCATAGAATTTTCTAGATGTTTGTAAATCCTCCGAGATATTTACAGAACTCACGAGAAGTTCACAGAACCTCCGAGCAGTGCATAGAACTTCCGAGACATTCATAGCACTTTCGAGATTTTCATAGAAGAATTTTCAAGTTGTTCATAGAACTTCTGAAAAGTTTATTTAATTTTCAATACTATCATAAAACTTCCGTAATGCTCATGGAAATTCCGAGATGAGCATGGACTTCCGAGATCATCATAGAAATTCTGAGCAGTTCATAGTACTTTCCATCAGTTCATGAAACTTTTGAGAATTTAATAGATCTCTCGAGCAGTACATAGAGCTTCTTAACATTTCCGAGGTGTTCATAGAACTTCTGAGTAGTTCATACAGTTACTGAACAGATCATAGAATTTCCGAGGTGTTCATAGAATTTTCGAGATTTTCATAGAACTTCCGAAATGTTCGTAGATCTTCCGAGATTTTCTAGAGTTTCCGAGCAGTTCATAGAACTTCCGAGACTTTTGTAAAAACTTCCGAGTAGCTCATAGAACTTCCGGAACGTTGATATTGTCTTTATTAAAGACACATCTCTCATTGAACATACGAGCGGTTCATATAAGTTCCGAGAGTTAATAGAGCTATCGAGATTTTCATAGAACTTCCGAAATGTTCCTAGAACATCTGACCAGTTCATAGAACTTCCGTGTAGTTCACAGGACTTTCGAGGAATTCATAGAATTTTCGAGATGCTTGTAGAACCTCCGGAGAATTCATAGAACTAAAGAGAAGTTCACAGAACTTCCGAGCAGTGCACAGAACTTCCGAGACATTCATAGAACTTCAGAGATTCTCATACAACTTCCGAGATATGCATAGAATTTTAAAGCAGTTCATAGAGCTTCTGAAAAGTTTATAGAACTTCCAAAACTATCATAGAACTTCCGTAATGCTCATGGATCTTCCGAGATCATTCAAGCTGTTCATAGAACTTCTGAGCAGTTTATACAGTTACAGAACAGTTCATAGAACTTCCGAGGTGTTCATAGAATTTTCTAGATGTTAATAGAACTTACGAAATGTGTATAGATCTTCCGAGATGCTCTATGATTTCCGAGCAGTTCATAGAACTTCCGAGACGTTCGTAAAACTTCCGAGTAGCTCATAGAACTCCCAAGC